TAGGATAGGTAAGGTATTCGACATGGCAGGGTATTATATTCGACATTTATAGGATATGTAAGGCATACGACATGGCAGGGTATTCTATTCGACAGACCTGGGTTGGGTATACTTTCGACATTTATAGGATATGTAAGGTATGCGACATGGCAGGGTATTCTATTCGACAGACCTGGGTTGGGTATATTTTCGACATTTATAGGATATGTAGGGTATTCGACATGGTAGGGTATAGTATTCGACATTTATAGGATATGTAAGGTATTCGACATGGTAGGGTATAGTATTCGGCATTTATAGGATATGTAAGGTATTCGACATGGCAGGGCATTGTATTCGACAGGCCTGGGTTGGGTATACTTTTGACATTTATAGGATATGTAAGGTATTCGACATGGCAGGGTATTGTATTCGACAGGCCTGGATTGGGTATAGTATTCGGCATTTATAGTATATATAAGGTATTCGACATGGTAGGGTATTGTATTCGACATTTATTGGATATCTAAGGTATTCGACATGGCAGGGTATCGTATTCGACAGGCCTGGGTTGGGTATACTTTCACATTTATAGGATATGTAAGGTATTCGACAAGGCAGGGCATTGTATTCGACATTTATAGGATATGTAAGGTATACAACATGGCAGGGTATTCTATTCGACAGGCCTGGGTTGGGTATACTTTCGACATTTATAGGATATGTAAGGTATTCGACATGGCAGGGTATTGTATTCGACATTTATAGGATATGTAAGGTATACAACATGGCAGGGTATTCTATTCGACAGGCCTGGGTTGGGTATACTTTCGACATTTATAGGTATGTAAGGTATTCAACATGGTAGGGTATTGTATTCGACACGGTAGGGTATAGTATTCGACATTTATAGGATATGTAAGGTATTCGACACGGCAGGGTATTCTATGCTACAGACCTGGGTTGGGTATACTTTCGACATTTATAGGATATGTAGGGTATTCGACATGGTAGGGTATAGTATTCGACATGGTAGGATATTGTATTCGACGTTGTAGGGTATTGTATTCGACGTGATAGGATATTATATTCGACAGTTATAGGATGTGTAAGGTATTTGACATGGTTGGATATTGTATTCGACATTTATAGAATATGTAA